CTGCTACCACTCCGCAAAAATTTTTTCTAGAAATAAATTTCTCTAGCTACTGTGGTGGATTCAGTATTTCTTTTTTAGCATATCAATAAAGTGATTAAGTCACAGAGTTTATACAGTATGATTTGTTTTGCGATGGAAAGTAATCATTCTTCGGAGGCAACGAAAACAAGGTGCTCCTCGCACAAATTTAAATATTGTATAGATCCAGACAGTATGTCGACACCAAGGACATGTGTATTGAATAATAGAGAAACGAGAATAAGGGATCAACGTTGCTGTATGATCTATTGCGTTAGCTTTATGCAAGCAGTCTTGAGCATGTTCAATGTCATTCAAACGTTCATAGATAACCGCCATATTTTCGTATGTCACTGCTGCATTAGGATGATTAAATGGTAGTGTTCTTAATTCAATATCCAATGCTTTTTGACAAGCCTCAAGAGCCTGATTAAATTCATGTAAATCGAAATATATAGCAGCTAAACTTTTGTATGAAACTGCAAAGTGGAAATGAGCATCTGGAAAATACTCGTTCTGAAAAGTCAATGCTTGTTGACAGAACTTTCGTGCTTGCTCATAGTCTTTCAGATCTCGATATGTTGCTGCAATATTCAAATACAAGTTCACTAATTGCATAACATCTTTGTCTTTTTGTTGTTCTAAAACATTGAGAGCTCTGGTATAATGTTTAATGGCCGCATTAATAATTACCGCATATTTTACATTCGACTCTTCCAAATCTTCTGCAAGAGTCAAAGCTATTTTGTATTCCCTCAATGCTTCTTTGAGTTGATCACGTTCAAGAGCAACATTTCCGAGATGAACATGACACTTGATTCTATCAAGTATATTCACTTGGGTTAATTTATCACAGGTAGAAATTTGAGATAAGAACTTTCGCGCAAATTTTTCTACTGCATCAGTTTGTCCCATTTCGTTTAAAACACCGACAAAAGTAAGGAGACTAGATTGATTTTGAACAAAGTTGCTTCTATTTGTCTTCATGTAATTATATAATATCTTTATATCGTTTATGGTAACGTCGGACAGTTGCATTGAGACAACGTACATGTCATTTTCTTCGCGTACTTCTAACAGTTGAAAAACAGAACCAACTGTAAATACAACTTCCTGCTCTTGATCAGAAAATTGACTGAATGATGTTATATCTGCATATGGTCGTTCCCTACTAGCTGCTATGTTTGGATCTGCCTCGATTTCAAACAGGACTGGTGCAAGTTTCTTATTTTCAATAGCACTGGTTAAGGTGTAGTCTCCCAGAAAAAACAGAGCTACTTCTCGGCTCAGAGATGTGGACAAAAACGAATTCATTGATATTAGATTCCCTACGGAATTCTTTAGCAGCTCGATTTCTTCACTTGATATTAGCTGTCCACGATAGACTATCGCAGATGTCTGGCATTGATTTTTGACAAGTTCAACATGAATGTCGCGAATGAAAAATCGAAGAAGAAACAACATATCGATATTTTGAGAGCGTAATGCTTTGTTTAAAATAGAAAAGAGGAAGTTAGCTTTTGTGTACCAGTGCAATGCATCCTGTGGTCTGTAGTCGTTTGAGAAGCAATGCAAATATTCTTGTTGTTTCGCGTTGTTCGAAATACTTTTTGCGCAGATTTCAACAAATTCATTCATGGCGGTATCTGGAATGGCCATTTGCAAAATTGTGTCAATCAGTAATTGAGAAAATAGAAAGTTACCATTAATAGCAGTAGACGAATATCCGTTCATTTGCTCGTTTTTCTGAAATGTTTCGATTGAAAAATATTGGGTTGCATTTCGACGACACGAATGTGCTTGAAAAGCATCAATACGTTTCACCAGCTCATCGACATAGACCCATTGGATCTTTCTCTAAAATATTACCAGTGACCAATACAAAGATATTCTTTCGTCGAACTCACCTGTTCACAAGAAAATACATCTTCTTGTCGATCATTTTTCTGTTCGTAGTAAACAAATATGGCACTGATC